AGGGGAGGAAAACTGACCTTAGCCAGCGTACTCCGCAGACGTCCAAGGCGGCGGCGGGTCGCAGTGGCTGAAGAATGCACTACACGGTGGATTGCAGCAGCGGACACAACATGGTGTGCAGCCTTTTTTTTGTGCGCGGGGACTTGGAAAAGTATGGGGTTGGAATTCAAATTCTTAGCGCCTCCCCCCTGGAGGGCATCTCAGGAAGATGGATCCCCCACAGAAGGGCAAATAGGACAGGCAGCAGGGGAAATAGGACCGCCGGTCCGGTAGGGGCATTCCAAAAAGTTGTGCCCCTCACTGACAGGGGCCTGTTCGAAAGTCAGAGGCCCAGGGGCAAATTAGGGTAAGTCGGCCGCGGAGGGGCAAATCGCAAATTAATGCAAACTTCAGGGGCATTTCGAAAATTTTTCCTTTATTATTTTTCTAATGTCAAATTCTACAATACAAACCAGAGTAGGCTAGAACCAGGACTGCCTGTTATTTCGGGGGGTACCGGCCCAAGAGGTTTTCTGGTGAGCTGTGAGCCGTATCTACCAGTTGTCACGATGCGGGTGCAGTGCAGGAGGGGGGCGGAAGACGTGAGGAATAGTCCCCTGTTGGGTTGTTCCAGAACGAACTTGAAGGCGCTTCACTGCAGGTCCGGGAGGAACAAGAGGATTAAATTTCTCCTCCTTTTTTTTTGCCCCCACACACCGGAAAAACTCCAAGTACTGTAAAGAGGACATTCACCGAGGTGGAAGTAAAAGAGAGAGTTTGCAGAGAAATGAGAAACACAGGGAAAAGAAGAGAGCAGAAGAGAGAGGAGAGGAGAAGAGAGGAGAGAAATGAGAAACACAGTGAAGAGGGGAGTAACAGAAACAACTAGCACTCGTGTGCTTCGTGACAGCAGAGCATTTTTTACTAGTGGCCATGGACTGCAGATCTCAAAGCAACAACGCTGAGTCATGACACAACGACAGAATTATGTATGTATATTTATTTTTGTTAGCATACAAAAGGTCCCATGGACCATAGATCAGATAGGGAAAAGTTATGAAACCTTTGTCACTATAGATCAGATAGGGAAAAGTTATAAAACCTCCCCGTGGTGAAACGTTTGTATTCATTTCCCCCCAAACGCAGCAAAAAGTGCCACAGACCCCAAAATGACATTTCCTGTCAAAAATGGCCAGAAAGTGTTTTACAGGGTGCAAAAATGACACCTAAAGTCATTTTGGGGCCTGCAACACTTTTTGCCCCGTTTGGGGGGAAATGAATGCAATGAACACAAAGGTCTCGCCACGGCGAGGTTTAAAAGGTTTTCCCGATCAGATATGACGCTGTCCAGAAGAACAGATGTGCAAGGATTGAGCCCTCAAGAAGGGGCCTTGCCATGATGTACATGTTCTGGGCTAAGGCCCCAGCAAGCCTCGTGCCCGCCCTAAGTGAAGGCGGGCCAGCAAATCAACAAGAGCCCTCAGTGCAA